AAACAGCAGCCAGGGGGAAAATCTTCAAAATCAAAGGCCAAAAGACGATTTCCCGGGTCTGAGGTCGGACAGCTTTTAGGACTCTCATCGAGGCATTTCATACACCAGAGGAGTCCAAATCAAACAGTTAAATACAATAAATAAACAACAGCATCACTTTAGGGCAATGTTGGCTAACTTTTAGACTCCCGAGTAACTCATAAGACATAAAACTGAATCCATTGGAGAGATTTAGGGATAGGAGGTCAATTTCGGTTTTCCTGGTTCTGATTAGAAATATGGTTTCATCTATTCCTTTTTTCTGCAAATGCCAGTAAAATTCTTCATGAGTGGTGTGTTAGATTGTCTGTGTTTTTGCTTATTTGGCTATAAATCTTCACCCGTACGGAGTCAGAGGCATTCTTTAAAGCTTCATGTCGGCTTGTTTTCCCGGGCTTTGGGCGGCCGGAGCCTTTCGGTGTCGCTGTGGCAGCAGCTGGGCAGAACTGAGCCCAGATGTCTTCACAGTGAAGTCATCTGCCATCCGGGGGACTTCTTCATACACGTGTGGATCGCTGTCGGAGAGGGAAAGATTAGAGTTTAGCGACACGACGGCAGCTGAGCGCTCGTTTATTCACCAAATGTAATGGAAACTTTTTACTGGAGATGATTTAAATGATTTACTTTACACATACGGATACACCAAAGACCTAAAATGAAGCTATACGTACTCTCAGAGGGCATTTTTCCAAAAGACTTTCATGTTTTTTGTTTAATTTTGCTGCCTATCAGTCAAAACAATAAAAATCACAAAGATATTTTCTATTTTCACACACCGCCTCCAGAAATACAACAGTATATACATATATACATGTCTATACATACTGTACACATATATATATATTTACAAAATTCCACACAAAATATAATTACATTTAGTTATGTATATATTTATTTATAGTTTCTGAGGAATTTTGTGTGTGCGTATCTATATATACACACACACAGTGGGGCAAAAAAGTATTTAGTCAGCCACCAATTGTGCAAGTTCTCCCACTTAAAAAGATGACAGATGCCTGTCATTTTCATCATAAGTAAACCTCAAATATGAGAGACAAAATGAGGAGAAAAAATCCAGAAGATCATATTGTCTGATTTTTTAAAGAATTTATTTGCAAATTATTATATATATAAAAATTTAAATCTTCATTATGTGTAATCTGACTAAAAAAAGCATCGCCTTGAATTCACACATCTGGACTAAGCTGTTCAGGTCTGAGTGGAGAAGCATAAAATGTGTGGCATTTTTTAACAAAAGGCTGTAAACTCTGCTGGAATCCAGCTCCACTTTTTGGGTGGCTGAAAATAGCCGGTGCGGTAAACCCACATTTTTGGCGCAGGTGACCTACAAACCGCCGGCTTTTATGGGGACCCACCTGTTGGGCCGCCGGCCTCCAGGCCTGGGATCAGCTCCATGTGGACGGAAACCAGCCAAATAAAACAGAAATGACTATCATGAGGATGGAAGAGCATCTTTTGGAGAGTTTTGAGGGCTGGTTGGCTCCAGAGATGGATCTGAAACATTTTTAACATAAGAAACATTTAAAAAAGAGCTGAGTCATTATCTTTTTCTCTTTTTCATTGGACGTCATGTGTTGGTTTTTTTTTGGTTTTTTTTATATTTAATGATGAACTGGCCTGTTTAACTAACCTGTTTAAAGGGATTTTCTATTCTTTACATTTTTATGTTTGCTTGACTAACTCAGGTTGTCGTTCGTGGGAGTTTGAGCACATGTGGGTCCCAGTTTAAGCTGGTTTTAATGGACTTTTGTGTCGTCTGTAATGCATTACGAATCGGTCTCTTCGGACTATAGTGTGATGCCAATGCAGCTTTCCCTTCTGCGTCACGCAGCGGGTAGAAAAAATGTCCTAAACGTCCCGTTTTGTGTGCCTTTTTCCGCAGGAAATGGCGGTGCGTGCGCTGAAGCAGACGGGGAGCCGGAACATCGAGGCGGCCCTGGAGTACATCAGCAAAATGGGCTACCTGGACCCTCGAAATGAGCTCATCGTCCGCGTCATCAAGCAGACCTCACCCGGTAAAACCAGGGCCCTCCCTGTAATCAGCCTGTTGCTGTCAGAATTCAACCTAAAGACTGTTTTTTTTTTTTTTGCTCAGGAAAAGCCGGCATGCCCAACGCCATGGACCACCGGCCCTCCATGGAGGTCTCGGGGGAGGCGGGCGCCATGCCTCCGTACCACCAGATGGGGGCGCCCATGTACGACGGGGCGGCGGGGTACGGCCCCGAGGGGGAGATGGCCCGGACTTACATGGGCGCCCCCCCTGTTATGAACTACATGATGAGCCCCCCCGGGGGCGCGGCCCAGGGCCCCATGGGCCGGCCCCCCAGCATGGGCAGCTACCCGCCGGTAATGGCGGCCCAGGGAAACCCGGGCGGCGCCCTGTACCCCCCCGGCGCCCAGCAGCACGGGCCCATCATGAGCTACAACGTCCCCGGGCAGCCGCTGCAGCTCCAGGCGCCGCCACCGGGGGGCGCCGGCCCCGGCCCCCACTACGACTACGACTACGGCCACGCCCGCCAGCACATCATGGAGCCGGCCGGGTACGGGGTGAAGAGGACCCCCTCCTTCCAGAACAAGATGCAGGCGCCGCCCCCGGACAATTACGTCAACATGGCGGGGAAAGGGGGCATGGGGCAGAACGGGGGCGGGTACCCCGCCAACCTCTACCTCCCGGCCCACTCCCACCCCCGCCAGGCCAGCCCCACCTCCCACCAGGTGCACCTGATGTCGCGCTCCCCCGGGGGGGTCGGCGGCGCCATGGCGACCGACTTCTCCGACCTGCCCCAGGGGCTGATGACGCCCTCCAGGGCCAGCCTCAACCTGGACCTGTACGAGCACCTGTGGGCCGCGCCCCCGGGTCCCGAGGGGGCCCCCCCGGCCCGCCAGGGCCCCCCCCAGGGCCCCTTTAGGGAGGTGCGCGCGCCGAGCCGGACCAACTCCTTCAACAGCCGCTCCGGGGGTCCCAACGGCCCCGGCAACGGGGTCCGGCCCGCCATGGCAACGCCCCCCGCCGTGGGGAAACAGGATTCCTCGCTGGGGCCCCCCAACACCATCACGGCGGTGACCTCCCCGCCCATCCAGCAGCCCGTGAAGAGCATCCGCGTGATGCGTCCCGAGCCCAAAACGGCGGTGGGGCCGTGCCACCCCGGGTGGATGAGCGCCGGGGCGCCGGACGCCGCCGCCGTGGAAACGCTCGCCTACATGGCGGAGGAGGCGTACCCGCTGGAGCCGGAGCCGCGCTGCCCCCCGCCCCCGTACCCCAAAAGCCTGCTCCTGTCCGAGGCGGGAGCCATGGAGGGCGCCGACCTCGGCAACCCGGCGGCGAGGAACTCGCACGCCAGCGGCGGAAGTGGCGGCAAAGCAGAAGACGACCGGCAGGGAAAGGAGAAGTCGAAGCTCAGCAAGGGGGAGAAGGCCGTGAAGGACAAGAAGCAGATCCAGACCTCGCCGGTCCCCGTGAGGAAGAACGGGCGGGACGAGGAGAAGAGGGAGTCGCGCATCAAGACCTACTCGCCGTTCGCCTTCAAGTTCTACATGGAGCAGCACATAGAGAACGTGATGAAGACCTACCAGCAGAAACTCAACCGCAGGCTCCAGCTGGAGCAGGAGATGTCCAAGGTGAGGCCCCCAACAGATGATCAGATACGAATATTCTAGGGATGTTCCGATCCTGATCCCGGCCTATCGGAGCATGTGTTAAAGTTTAAAGTTATTTATCTACTTACTTAGTTGTCAGACTCATGTTGAACAGGGATTTACTCTGATAACAACTTAATGGTTAGGACACAGACCTGTGGGTTACAGATGCTAATGCTCCTGTGGGATTGGGATTGGAAAAAAGCTGGATCAGGAGTCTGGACACACATTCTTTTGAAAATATCGCCCTTGTTTAATAACATATTTAATATCATACTAAAAAGTATATATATATATATATATATATGTGTGTGTGTGTGTGTGTGTGTGTGTATAGGTAGTTTGTTTTCATATAACTGAACATTTAAAACATTTGGCAGACTGATCCAGTCTGTTTGTGTTGAATTACTTTGATTAGTCGTCATCTTTCTGCTAATGTTTGCTTCTCTTTTACTCTGTTATCACATGCAGCTTCCAATGAACTCACTCTAAAGTTGTTAAGTCATGAAACAGTTATCATTGGAGAGTTACGAGCAGGAACATTAGGACGTCAGTCCAACCATCTGTCACTTTCTTCATATTTTAGATGCTCTCCTCTGATTCGATGATTTATCTCTTAGCCCGTAAATATCGCGTTTCACAAATAAAGCCGTGACAGGAAGCGGAGGTTAAAGGAGATGAGGAGCTCATTCAGTTCATCCAGCCTCTGGAAGCGGTTTTGTGCCGTTAATTGTGATTCAATTTCAGCTTAATGAGCTAAATCTGGTTAGGCTCTCTCTGCCAAACCGTTGGTGAGAGCCACCATGGGCATAAAGCGTGGCCTCAGAGGCGGTGGGCCATAAAAACGATCTCCTCGCAGAGAGTCCCATACTGCCAGAGTTTTCTGAGCATTTTGACTGATTTTTCAAGAGCCACAGAATAGTTTGTGCTATGACTATGTAAACACTGAACACACCAAAAGAAAGAGTAGACTCTCTTCTTTCATCAGGAAATTTTTATTAATTTTTTCCTTATTCCGTTCTTCCTCGACTTGCGTCTCACCGGCGACATGTTCTCTCATAGCGAACCGTTACCTTTTTCTTATTTGCCTACAGTCTATGCTCATCTCCCATCAAAAGTGGCACTGCCACCTAGAGGGTCAATTTGTTACTTCATACTCTGTCTAGAAGCCGATATTTACGGACAAGCTTTAGCAGATCGTCCCCCAGCCACTCTCGTTGAAAAACATAAAAGACGTCCATAGACGTCTTTGGCAGTCAACGGTTGTATTTGAATTGACGTCTATAGACGTCTTTGGCAGCCAATGAGTTAATGAGAAAAAACACTCCCGGGCCGATGCCAGAGCGGGGAACAGTCCTTCTTCAGCCTGTCCCTCTGGGTCTGTGCTCAGGCCGGCCTGTCGGAGGCGGAGCAGGAGCAGATGAGGAAGATGCTGAACCAGAAGGAGTCCAACTACAACCGGCTCCGGCGGGCCAAGATGGACAAGTCCATGTTCGTCAAAATCAAGACCCTGGGCATCGGCGCCTTCGGCGAGGTTTGCCTCACACGAAAGGTGGACACCGGCGCGCTGTACGCCATGAAGACGCTGCGCAAGAAGGACGTCCTCAACCGCAACCAGGTGAGCAGAGAGTTCTGGGCTGGGGGGCGAGAGGGGGGGTCCAAAGAAGTGCCTGCAGGAAGCCAAGGATGGATATCCAACTCCGCCCACATCCAAGGAAGATCCCAATCCTAATGGCTTCATAGCAAAATAGACACAAATTTTGTTAATTTTTAGGGTAAGGAGTAGGGTCAGGGTTAGGTTCAGGACATCGTTTGTCTTCCGATTTCGTTTTGTCCGTAAAGTTTAGTTTCCACAAGATGCTAGTGAAATTAATCTAGCAAACACTGGATTAAACATAGTTAAAATATGTTAAATAGATTTGTACAATAAGTCAAAACAAGTTTAACCCAAAAATATTTATTTCTCACAATTATGAAAGGTGGAGGGTTAGGGTCAGGGTAAGGATTAGGTTTAGGGTTAGGGTTAGGATTAGGATTAGGGTTAGGGTCAGGTTTAGGGTTAGGGTCATGGTAAGGATTAGGGTTAGATTTAGGGTTAAGATTAGGGTTAGGGTCAGGTTTAGGGTTAGGGTAAGGATTAGGGTTAGGGTCAGGACATCGTTTCTCTTCCGATTTCGTATAGACAGTAAAGTTTAAAGCAGAAAGCTGCTAGTCATATGACCTGATCAAAATGGCCAACTTGGATGTGGGAGGAGCTTGATATCCCACCGAGGCTCCTACAGACTGCATCCAGAGGCTGATCCCTTCCTGTGCTGCAGGTGGCGCACGTGAAGGCAGAGCGCGACATCCTGGCGGAGGCGGACAACGAGTGGGTGGTGCGGCTCTACTACTCCTTCCAGGACCGCGACAGCCTCTACTTCGTCATGGACTACATCCCCGGGGGGGACATGATGAGCCTCCTGATCCGGATGGGCGTCTTCCCCGAGCCGCTGGCCCGCTTCTACGTGGCCGAGCTCACGCTGGCCATCGAGAGCGTCCACAAGATGGGCTTCATCCACCGCGACATCAAGCCCGACAACATCCTCATCGACCTGGACGGACACATCAAGCTGACCGACTTCGGCCTGTGCACCGGCTTCCGCTGGACGCACAACTCCAAGTACTACCAGAAGGGTGAGTTTGGTTTATGGCTACTCTCACACACGCTATTTCAATATGTGTTTTGTGTCCATTTTTGTTTTTTAAGGCTTCAAAAGTCTTTTTTTATCCAGTGAAATATAAAAAAATCTTGCAGCTCAACATTCACGAGCTCGCTAAGTGTACGTATTTCTATATAATCTTCATTTAAATTACTTTAAATGACTAATTAAAATATGTAAAAAGAATCATAATAAAAACTCGAGCTCATTTGCCCACTTGAGATTGAAGACGTCATGCTATTGGGTGACCAACTAGGCGAGGGGAAAGTTTATAAAGCCTTAAAAATATACGTAAACAACAAAGTAAATGTGAGGTTATTAAGTCATAGATTTTTTTCTATCTGGAACTGAACCCCACCACTGAAAAGTAACATCTTTTACAGACTTCTTTTACAGATTTGAGTTGTTTTTTCTTGCTTTGTAAGTAGGAGTCTTGTAGTTTTTGGCCTTTTCAGGCCGCGCCTCCTGGGATTTAACGTCCTTTCTCCCTCCCCTCCTCCAGGCAGTCACGTCAGACAGGACAGCATGGAGCCCAGCGACTTCTGGGACGACGTGTCCAACTGTCGCTGCGGCGACCGGCTGATGACCCTGGAGCAGCGCGCCAACCGCCAGCACCAGCGCTGCCTGGCCCACTCGCTGGTGGGCACGCCCAACTACATCGCACCCGAGGTTCTGCTGCGCAAAGGTGGGCGAGAACGAGGCAGAGCTGAGCCCCGACTAGGGCTTTTTAGCTCTTAAAAAAAAAAAACCCTCAGATACTAGATAGGGCTTCTTTTTGACTTTGCTTCTGGAGTTTTACTGCTTGTTCAGGCTGGTTTGAAATCGGAGATTCTCATTATTGAGATCCTAAACAACTCACCGACCCAAAATCAGAATCGGAATCAGAAATCCTTTAATAATCCCAGAGGGAAATTATTTAGATGTGCCTGTGTGTGTGTTTATGATGGGGGAAAAACACTTTATATGTAGAGTAAGAAGCTATTTGTGAATTAAAGTAGCTCCATTAAGGTTTAAATCATTTACTCTTTGCATTTTCCAGTTAATCTGGTATAAAAAAGTTCTATAAAAAAGCTGTTCTTTCATTTAAAACCTCGTTTTTGAATCCAAACAAATGCCTTTAGTCTCCGTTTTAGGGGTTGAGGATGTTGACCTGCCTTTTGTGGGACATACTGCCCAGTTGCTCTTTAGACTTTTGTGTCCCGTCAGTGCTCTGGCGCGTGGAGACAAAAGAAGAAAAACGGTGCCTGTGAAGGCAGAGAGCTGGTGTTGAATGACCTGAAATGTGCGTTGTGCGCAGGTTACACTCAGCTGTGCGACTGGTGGAGCGTGGGAGTGATCCTGTTCGAGATGCTGGTGGGGCAGCCGCCCTTCCTGGCTTCCACCCCCACGGAGACTCAGATTAAGGTGAGTGAGGAGGGGAAAACTGAATGTGGTGCTGATCAGCCGCAGTTCCTCGGGCCATGTGTTTTCCCTCCTTTAGGATTTGTAGAGCTCCCCAGAGCTATTAGTTCAGCTTAATTGGATGTTTACACTTTTTCTTCCACCCAAACATCTGCATGGTGCAGTAAAACGGCTGAAACTGCTGAAAAGCCCGCATTAAGCAAACACAGAAGGCAAACACAAACAGCTGCCGGTCTGACGATGGGAACTGAGAATCCACTGCTTCATATAACTTATATAATGAGTATAAAATAAGATGAATTGGTCAGTATGCACAGGAAGCCTGAAATCTGTTACATGTCCCTCAGAAATATTGAAATGTAGGACTGAAAGGCAGGGCCAGTTTATTTGTACAGAACATTAGGTCTACAAGACAATTCAAAGTGCTTCACAGAGAATTTAAAAACAGAAAAACCAGAAATAAAAAAAATAAAAAAAACTAGCATATGGCTCTTCCTGGGGAACACCTGTGAGAATGCCAAGTTCTAAATGGAGGAAGAAGGAGAAGAAGCCAAACAAAAGCTGAAAAAAGCATAGAACTGAGGAGTTGAAGAAGAATGGAGGAAGCAGAAGAGTTGAAGAAAAAAGGCTGAAAGGAGAAATAATTTGAAAACTTTGAACCGGCGACTTCTGGATCTGCAGTCAAACGCTCTACCATTGAGCTGTACCACTGAGCTATACCACTGAGTTATACCACTGGGCTACACCACAGACCGAAGGGCTGCAGAGGAATACAGAGGAAAACAAATCTGAAGGGGCTGAAATGCCAGTGACCAGCAGAGGGAGCCATATTTTTTGCTCCATTCATTTCAATGAGAGGAATAAGGCATGTAAAGTTTAATATCTATTTAATATATGGCTGAACAGCTGTGAGAATGCCAAATTCTGAATGGAGGAAGAAGGAGAGTTGAAGAAAAAAGGGAGTTAAGTTTAGTTTCTTCCTCGACTTGCGTCTCACCGGCGACATGTTCTCTCATATCGAACCGTTACCTTTTTCTTATTTGCCTACAGTCTATGCTCATCTCCCATCAAAAGTGGCACTGCCACTTAGAGGGTCAATTTGTTACTACATACTCTGTCTAGAAGCCTGATATTTACGGACAAGCTTTAGCAGATCGTCCCCCAAGCCACTCTCGTTGAAAAACATAAAAGACGTCTATGGACGTCTTTGGCAGCCAATGAGTTAAGTTTAGTTTCAGACTGAGGACCCATGTGAGCTCAGGACATGAACCCAGTCTCCCTGTGTGTGTGTGTGTGTGTGTGTGTGCAGGTCATCAACTGGGAGAGCACGCTGCAGGTTCCGGCGCAGGTGAAGCTGAGCCCCGAGGCCGTGGACATCATCGGCCGCCTGTGCTGCTCGGCGGAGGACCGCCTGGGCGCCAACGGCGCCGGAGAGATCAAGGCGCACCCCTTCTTCTCCCCGACCGACTTCTCCAGCAGCCTGCGGCAGCAGCCGGCGCCCTACCGGCCCAAGATCGCCCACCCCATGGACACCTCCAACTTCGACCCGGTGGAGGAGGAGGCGGGCGGCAGCGGCGACAGCGGCCGGGCGCTGGACGCCCTCTGCTCGCCGCACGGGAAGCACCCGGAGCACGCCTTCTACGAGTTCACCTTCCGCCGCTTCTTCGACGACCACGGCTGCCCCTTCCGATACCCGAAGCCCCCGGAGGCCGGCGAGGGGCTGCCCAGCGCCGCCACGGAGGAGGAGGAGGAGGAGGAGGAGGAAGAGGAGGAGGAAGATGAGGAGGAGGAGGAGGAAGAGGGCGAGCAGGGCGAGGGATGCGAGCCGGTGTACGTTTAGAGCCGATCGGTGTCCTAACAAAACTGCCCACAGACTCGATGGCGGTTTGTTCCGCGAGTTCCTCGGGACACAGAAACGGCTACGGACCGGGACCAAGAGACAGGCCGAGGCCAAAGAGAAGGAGCCAGACCCAAGTCCGTCTGGCTGCAGACCGCAGGAAGCCAAGGATGGATGTCTAACTCCGCCCACATCCAAGTCGGCCATTCTGATTAGGTCACCAATAGGAGGTTCCCAGGCAAGAAAATCGTAATTGCTTCAAGGCAATATAGACATTAATTTAAACATAGTGAAATTAATCTTGCAAACACTGAATTAAACTCTATACATAATATTATGTTAAAATAGTGGATGTTAAATAGGTTTGTACAATAAGTCCAAACAAGTTGAACCAAAAAATATTTATTTCTCACAATTATGAAGGCTGTAGGGTTAGGATTAGGGTTATTAATGTGGGCCACCAGTCACAATAACATCAGTAACAGGTCAGTTTGAAATGAAAGACACAATTCAGTTAAATTTTGGGGTCTTTGTTTTTATCCTTGTGGTGTCGAAAATGGTATCGAGTATCGAGTATTTTCCTGAGTATCGGTATTGAGTTGAAAATTTTAGTATCGTGACAACCCTATGTCAAATAGGTTTGTACAATAAGGCCAAACAAGTTTAACCAAAAAATATTTATTTCTCACAGTTATGAAGGGTGGAGGGTTAGGGTTAGGGTTAGGACATCGTTTATCTTCCGATTTCGTATAGACAGTGATGTTTCGTTTCCACCTCAGAAAGCTGCTAGTCAAATGCCCCTAATCAAAATGGCCGACTTGGATGTGGGAGGAGTTGGATATCCAACCGAGGCTCCGCCAGACTGAGGGGAGATGGCCCGGTCTTCGTCCCATTCCTCCCCCCCCCCCCCCCGCGCCAAAGCTGCTTTCCACTCCAGTATTGGACCCGCGTCATGTGGAGGGCGACTCCTTTTTCCACGGCTGCAAAATAAGCTACAATAACGTCACAAAGGGGCGAGAACGCCGCCAGGTTTCAGGTCATCCACGTCCATGTTGATGTTTCGACACGCCGTCTCCACGGCAACAGACGGACACATTGTTTTGCCGCTCTGCCCACTCATAAATGGTCACGCAGCCGTGTCTATTTTCTAGGAGAAACGTGTCTAAGACGGAAACATTCAAAGTTTCTCCACCTCCCTCCTTTTCGTGCCAATTGGACCTCATTGTAAGACGAGGTCTGCTCACTCAGAGGAAGCCGTTCTGAACATTTTTTGTCTTCTGTGTTCATTATTTCAAGATTTCGACTCCCACAAAAGCTTTTGGACTTTAGTTTGGGCCCAAACGATGATTTATTGAGCCCGCTCAGTGTTTTTCTGACACCAGAAACGACAAGATCGGATGAAAACGACACTTTGTGTTTACAATGCTTTCTGGTGATTTTTGCTCTTTAAGAAAATAAGAATTTTTACCAAGAAAAAAACGCGGGAGTTAAACTCTGGGCCGGCTTCGTGCGAGCCGAGCTCCAGAATTACATTCACAAAGACGCGCAGAGCGATTTTAACTTTTGAGAAAGTGTTTATATTTTTTTGTTTTGTCACACCGCGGTTGCGTTGCAGCTTAACTCGTCCACCTCCGCTTCCGGATGGACGGAAACAAAGCAACAAAGTCCATAAAACAGCCAAACGTGTGACAGTGTGACTATGTGCAATACAAAAACGACATTATATGTATATAGTTTTTCTAAACCCTTCATAACCTTTTTGAAAGTGTAGTTCTGAACTGTACAAATATATCGGTTTATATGTGTATTTTCCATTTTCAATTACAACATGCTGCTTTATTATTGTGGTTAATATTATTTACATTATTATTATATTTGTTCCTGTCTGTTTTCTCTCTCTGTGGAGGTCTAAGGAGGCGAGGGTTTGGCTGTTTTTGGGGTTCTGAGAGTGCCTTTTTTAGCTGAGTGTGATGGTGTGGGAGCATGGGGGGGGGTGGAGGCCCCCCCCACTGTAGCCGGGCTGGCCCCGCCTACAGAGGGGGGGGGGGGGGGGGCTTTAGAGAAGAAAAAGAAGAAGAAGAGTCAGGCAGGTTGGCTTCAGGAAATGTTATTGGATTTTTTTTTTTTTTCAAAGAAAAGCACGAGCAGCCTTTCCGCTGTTTTATTAAACGTCAAAGAGCTTGGTACATCTTCTTTTATTTATCTGAAATAGCCACAAACTGAGATGCACAGCCTCTGCTTACTGACAATCAGCAACCGATGGAAGCCGGGGGGGGGGAAATTTGGGGTGAACTGGTCCAGCAGTATTCTGAATTTGACGCGCTGCGATGCTCGGAAAGGAGTCGGAGTGGTTTTTGCTCCTTTTTTTTGTGTGTGACAGTGTTTTGTATCTGGGGTTGTTTGTATTTTTTGTTGTTTTTTTTCCGTATACGTGCCTTTTCTAACACGAGCAGCACAATCTTAAAAGATGGCCTCGATGTTTTCTGTCCTTTTCAGACCTGTTTTCTCTGTTAGGGTTGATCTGGGGGGGGCTGACAGAGCAGAACCGCTTTATTCTGATCCATAATCCATAAGAATGTAAAGAGACCTCAAGATGAGACACACAATTACATATACATCCTTTTGTCCCATATAAAAGTTCCAAATATATATATTTATATGTGTATTTCTTTATAAAGATCAGTTTTCTAGTCACCAGATTTTCTTTGAGGAAAGGGAAACTTTTTTTTTTTTCCACTTAACAATGTTACAACTCAGGTCTTAGTTCAAATCTGTAAAGCTTCTTGTTTATATTTGTTTAAATTGACCCGAGCGGACAGATGAATTTCACATTTTTATGTCACAATCGGAGCTTCACCGGCTCCAGGAGGCATCTTTGCTCCGTCAGTCCTCCCCATTCGGTTAATCTCTCAGAAAGACGTTCAGGATCGGCTTCTCAGTGGGAATTAAAGCTTTATAACGAGTGTGTGTGTGTGTGTGTGTGTGTGCGCGTGCCACAGTGTGTGAGGTGTTTCCTGGATGTGTTATCTGACAATCTTTTGAATGACTCATGTCTTTTCATCCAATTTTCTGGCAAGACTCGCTTTTTAAAAAATCTTCTACTTAATTGTGCATTTTTATTCTAAGGAGTCTGTGCTTTGCTCTCATGTATGATACAAATCTGTACTCTTAAATTTATATTTATACAGATATACATATTTTTTGTAACTTTTTTTTCTCCTTTTTTCAAAATTTCCTCGTGCTAATGTTAAAAATCCACACATACGCAGTATTATAGATGATGTCATTTGGACAGGTGTCTCTTTTTTTACATTTATGTATTAAATGAGAATTTGTAAAAATGCTTTCACTGTCCCAGTGTGTAAAATGTATGTATAAATTAAATTAACCAGCTTGGACTTGAGTGCGTTTCTATGCAAAAGCGGCTTTGCCCAGAAGCTCCGTTACACCACTATTGTGCATAAATTACAATTATTTTAGGTGGGGGCTTCTCTAAAGGAAATTGGGGTTGGAAATTATTAGGAAAAGATTAAATGCGTAGTATGTGAATATTCTACTGTAAATCCATACACATTTCTCCTAGTTATTTAGCATTAATACACAATTCAGATGTACAGAAATTGAAACCGTGTACTCAGAATAAGCCAAATTTCTTGTCTAATTTTTAGGGTTATTGCACTTTCAAATTATTTTTCTTACTTGTAAAGGAGTGAAAGGAATTAAAGCTCAATCAATGATCCATTATTTATGATAAATATAATCATTGGTTGATTTTTGTGCAATTTTTGTTAAGGAAACGAGACAGACCGTGATGAGGAATGCCATTTTTTTCAACCAACAGTCATTTTGGACCAAAAACACTAAACTAGAAGACTTTAAATGCCCAAAGCTCCATTGTGGTAGGTATTTTGAAGAGGTACAGCTATGAAACAAATGGGAATAAATGTTATGTTGTTTTTTTTTGCCACAGGCTAAATGTTAAACAAAGAGCCTGAAGATAACATTTAGAATTAATTATTTGCCTGGTTGTCAGCAAAGTTCTGACTCATCCTTTGAGTTTGGGGCTTTTTTTTACTTGACTGATTCACAGTTCAGTTTGAAGAAGCTCAAATAAAAAAAAAAAAAAAAATTCAACTAACAATGGAAAGGGACAATTACAGGAAATTATCTTGAAAAACTACCAATACACGAAGAAAAAAACTTTTTAAAATGAGTTGATTGTCTGTTTTAGAGTTTTTAGGAACTCTCGAAGAAGATTACGTGTCTACTTTAGGGACTTTTTTCCTAACAATTTAACGTATTTGTGTGGGCGAAAGGATGGAAGCTGGGTTTTGACAGTTGGAACTTGTCTCTACGGGTTACGTAACCCCTCTCTTGCCTCCACGCGGAGCCCCGCCGGGCGCGAGCCGCTGCGTTCCCACAATGCAGAGCGCATGGCGCGTCATTGGAGAGGGACGATGATGGCGGCGGTCGGTGCACCAGAAGTGATCACACAGCTGGAAAGCGCTGCCAAAGTTTTAATGGTGAGAAACTCGTCGTCGTTTTTCAGCCTCCAACCGCCGAGCAACGGCTGCGCGCGCCTCGCCTCGCGCAGAGCCGTTGCTCGGCGGTTGGAGGCTCACGCGGGCGGCAGTTGGCTCCCGGGTTTCGCTGGTCAGTGTGGACCGTTTAGAGACTTGAACGATGCGTGGCGCAGCGCCTCGCTTTGCCTCCGACCCGCAAAAAGAAAGAAAACCCCCTCGTCTTCCTCACGTTTCCACCCCTTTGTGCCCTTTCTGCCCATCCACGCCACGCGGGATGAAATGCCACCGGAGATGTGGCCCCCGGTTTTCCAGAAACTTCAGCCGTTAAGTGTCGCTGCCCTCTCAACCGCTAAATCAAGTTTTTGTGGACTCTGGACACAGTTGGAGCATCTCGCCGCCGCCGTTTTTGCGGTTGTTTACCTCTGTCTATTACTTTAGCTCGTTTAGGGCTCTCTTAAAAAGGTACTCCCGAAAATATTT